TTAAGTAAAAAAGTATTTTGCAGAATCTTGCACAATATTTGGGCGATGAGCAGCGTAAAATGATGGAGCTATGGGCCGAGCTTCAACGTGTGCGTAAGCAGTGCTCGGAATACAAGGAGCAGACAGAGCGTGATCTCGAAAACCAGCGCAATGAGTTCATCAAAGTGATGCGCCACGTTAGCGCCATTGTGCGCGGACTAAACATCGAGGTATCTTTTCAGAAAGCTGGTTTAGTAGAATTTTTTTTAAAGATCATCCAAGTTTTTCGATTCTTTCGCACGAAGCTTTTGATATCACTGAGTTTTGACAGTCCAAGTCCTCTATCACGACCGCGTTTGTGGTTCAGGCGAGTTCGTCCCTGATTTGGTTGTCTGCAGTAACTGTACTCAGATTCCCGTCTGCCTTTCATTGCACGAGATATACTGGATCAGATTTCGCAAGGGCGTTTTTTAGTTTCTCCCCCAGCTTTTTTTTAACCGTTTTTTTTTTTTTTAGGAAACAAGCTCTCTTCTACATTCTGGTGTAGTTCAAATGCTTTTCTATTGAACTTAGAGTGGATCTACTCATTAAAAGAAAGCAGTATAAGCTAGCTTCGAATGCTGATGGGAACGAGTTAGCTTCGAAGACCACAGCTGACTTGATCGGTTGCAAGAAATAACAACGTATATATTTTAGAACGGATCGCACTCACTACTCTCGGATTTTTCGAGCGAAAGTGGAGTAGATGTCACGCACGACACGGTGCTTTTTGAAGCGGTCAAGCGTTTCCAGGAAAGTCAACAGCAAGCAGCACCGGGAATCGCACCGGAGCTCATCACTGAGCTTCGTCTTGCTCGATCCGAGGATGCTGGCCTGCACAGTGAGCTGATGAGAAAGTTCGTTTTTCCTGGTGCTTTTGTTACAGCAACTTGTGAATTTTCTTTCTCGAAAGTCTGGAACCACTCCGTTTAAGATCCACTGATCTTAAGTAGAATTTTTTGGGGAGATATGAATAAATTCTGGAATGCATCTAAATTGGAAAATATCATGAAATGTTTTTATCCGAAATACTTTTTTGTCTTCCCTTTACTTAATTTTTCAGTAGTTCTTACTTTCATTGCAGGAGAGAAGATAGTAATTAAAATAAATCAGTCCTTCCCCTTCTTCCCTTCTACTCTAGCTAATAATATTGCAAAGCTTTTAGGAATTCCTGAACTGACTTAAGCTCTGAGGGAATGGAAATAAAATTGCGCGGGGTTTCGTGTTAACCAGGGGTTGGAACCTAATATTCTTAGTAAACAAATTCCTTTCCGTAATACTGTAAGCACAACTTCACTTCTTGCCAGTTCTAGCGAGGAAGGGGGTAGAAACATTTAGGGTTCTCGAAAACGCGAAATTCACCGGCCTGCTATTTAACTTTGAGGCGGTCGTAATCCTATCCGTCGGGCTATTCTCTGGTAATTTAGAATGCCACAGCGAACTACATCTTTTTAGTAGTAGAAAAAAAAGACGAGGAACAAAAGGACTCAAGTGATTTTCTACTATTTTTACTCCAGAACCCAGCGCTAGCAGTGAGCTGAAAGTATTTTGTGATCTCTTCACTACGCTTGCGCATCTCATTACCAATTTGCTATCTAAACGAACGAACATTTTGTAGAAAACAATCGGTTTTACATGTCGCAGTACCGGGGTTACAGCACAGGTCCCACCATCTGACCAATAATGCATCACGGTGCATTCTTTTTTCTTCAAACGGCAGTTGCAGATATGAAGACAGCGTGCAGCGTATTATCGAACTGGAGGCTCGTGACGATGACAGCCATAACAAGCTGATTGCGCTTGAAAGTGATCTGAAGCGTACCCGTGATCGTCTCGCTGAAAGCCAGGTAATCACCGGCAATAAAATGTTGTGCTTTAATTTTTTCAGCAAATTTTAGATTTGGAAGATTTTTACGGCATTTAAGGGTTATGTGCGGAAACATGTGTCACACTCATTGAATCCCCACACAGACTGCCCGAACCTTCTTGACATATTCGGTATATGGTCAAAATCTTTTTCAACTTGCAGTTCGCACTCTATAGTTTTAATGCTGAA